GGGAGGGTGGGGGAAAAAGAGAAAGAAGGAAAGATGAATGGAGAATGCGCAATTTTAAGAGATTGTCTCAGATTTCAAATTAGCAATTCATTATAATCTGTGCTATCTCGTTCTAACAATTCTTGTCCTGAGAAATCATGAACAATATCGGTAAAAATAGAATGTACACTTACCAATTAACGTCAGGGAGCCTTTCATAATGAGATGTATATTTGAGATATGGTTTGAGGTCCACAACGTTAGACGTCAGAGTTATATTATCTTATTTACGGCTGTGGTGCTGTCCATGTCTTTTAGGAGTTTTCTCTTCAAAGTCATTCATTAATGATAGGAAAGATAAGCAAGTGGTGTCCAAATTTTATTCTTGTGATCTTGCTAACCTGAAACACAAGCTATTCCATAATAGCAAACGCACAATATTTTTCTCAAAATCGCACTTCTAACAAAAGAGCAAGCTCCAGCAGCGAAAAACAACTGTACAACGTTGGGAAAATGTAACAAAAGCGCGACTGGTATGGACAGGGCACGTTCGCAGCGCCTGTGGGTGAGTAGACAGGACTGAGGGCGTGAGCGCTGAAAGAAGAGCTTCTGCTCAGGAAATGTTTTCGCTTAATTGACTTTGTCGCAGAACGGGAACTGAAAAGAGAAAACAAGTCTGGAAATCTCGACCACCCATGTTTTTTGTTTTCATAAAACATTTTTCACATCTCGCCCTGTCAACGCTGGGCATTCCTGCAATGCTTGTGTTCTTATCTCGTGTTGTTGTTGCTGTTTTTTTAAGGTATTTTGAAGAAAATTGTGGTCTTCTACGCAATTGCGAATTTCTTTTTGTTTATTCACTTCGTATTATGGCAAGCTTGAAGTAAAAATGTGCATTCTGTAAGATGTGTGACAAGCAGACGAACGAGAAAATCAGATAGAGCCATGCATGTATTAGATTAGGCATTGTCTAGAAAATCCACAGTCAAATGAAAACTTTTGCTAGACTGTAAATGGCTTTGCAATGTTTTCAAAAGAAGAAAACGTCATAAATGAGCTATAGAAGGGAGCGAAAATAAGATTTTTAAAAAGGGAAAGATAGATATATATGTATATATATACAGAGAGAGAGAGAGAG